AAAATAAAGTGATTAGAGCTCATTATCTTCTGCTTTTTTTTCAAAATCCTACCAAAATCAGCAGAAGAACATTAATTAGGTCTAATTCTAAAAGCCACTTAAATTCTTTCTAAATAAGGATAAAAATTCTGGGATTTGGGAAACATTCATGAAAAAAGTAGGAATACTGTTATAAATGGCTGAAGCAAGAGTTTACTTCCCTTATATCCACAAGGAATCAAACCCAGAGTTCTATGTTATCACTATTTAGCTCTGTCTGTGCTTCGGGTAACTTCCAAGTTTAAAATCTGAACTGTCTCCTTTTTTTCCTCAAAGAATCAGCCTCATAATTAAATAAATAAGAACTATACTTTTAGTTTTGCTGTCTGGGAATTTGTTTCCCAATCCAGCTTTGGGATGGGACTCCCAGCCCAACTCGAAGTTTTTCTCTGAATTGCTAATACTAAGTAAATGTAACATGAGAGATTTTCCTGTTACATCACTTTATTTTTATCATCATCATGATTATGGCAATCTTTTCTTTGTCATTTTCATCATTGCCTCACCAACATGCAGAGCTGCATGGCACACAGTCTGCTTTCACTTCTCAAATGAGCACAGCTGTGCAGAGATTAAAGGTCCAACAGAGAGTTTATCAGAAGTGCATCTAGTATTGTTTCTAATCAGTGAACTGAACAACACCAAGTACAAAGGCTGGCAGGTTACAGAGGTGTACCTCACACAGTGAGTTCAGTAATAAGCATGCTTCAGGAGAAGGAGAGAATGAGCTTTTATCAGCTTCAGTCATGCATTCAGTTGTGTTGCTGTCTTGAGGGGCACTGCACCTTCTTTGAGGGGTTGCAGAAGAAGCAAATCTTGATCCCCAAGCACAGATGATGTCCAGACAGACGGCGAACGTTTGTCTTACACAAAGGAGGTATTCTCACTGTTGTGACATTAGAGATGTCAAGGGGCAGGCCAGCAGCAAGCTTAGGCAGCACAGCATCAGCAAGAGACCAGACAACACCATGACAGTGAAAGCTCTCTTGCTCACTGGTTTTAGTCATCTTCTTGCCCAAACAGCAGGTGGGACTCATAATGAAAGACGTTATGTAAGAGCAGAAAGTTTGATTCACCAAGCTGCCACAGTGGCAGCACATTTACACAACTTCCCCACCCAAAATCAGGAGGCTGAACTGTAGGGACAATTGCACCCCTTTGGCAAGGGCGGTAGAGTACACTTAAAAGGGCAATCAGAGGAAAAGGGAAAGGAACACCATTTTGAATAATTGGAGCAAAGAGGTTAATACGTATCTCAGTGTCACAGCAGAGACTGGCCAAGGTAATATGCATTGTTCTTATCAGAATTGTATTTATCAAAGTAAACTACGTTTGAGCTAAAAGGGAATGCATAAATCTTCTCTCATTGTCATCTTGAAACTTACAGCAGCTGTTAATTATATTATAGATCTTCCAGAAGTATGTACAGTAATTAACAGTTTCAGCCACGTTATTAAACTTACAGATACATTTTGCATTTTGCAAGCCTGACAGGAGCAAAGGGTCACACAAAAATGGTGTAAATCAGCACAGAATCAAGAAACCAAATGGGAGTCCCCAACTGTACTGGATGAGCTCTGATTTGCACTGGATGAAGACATAACCTTTAAGATGTTCACTGGCTGAACTCTCATTTTGGCTCACTCACTTAAGCTACAAGTCACTTCAGGCTTTTCCATGTTGCAAGTTATCATCAGGGTCTGACCTGGCCCCTCTCAGTATGTTGGAATTGATGACAGCTTATGTTCTTTACGTCTTATAATCTACCAGAAAGAAAAATTATGCTGTTATCCTTAAAGCTGGAGTACGTTCAATGCCTCTGGAGTTCTCATGAGATCCTTGATACTGCATCCACCTGTGGATGAATTTGTCAATTATATAAAGAGGTAAAAATAAAATTTAGCTAACTAACCAGGGTGTGGTTATGCTAACCACTTTCTCCATGTAGCACAGCTGAAGATAAAAAGTGCTACAGGGCATAAATGTAAGTATTGTTTATATGTAAGTGTATACATGGGAAAAACAACTTGTATTACTAATTTGTTCTATTTGTCTGATTTTCATATCAACTGACAACCAGACGAATACAGTACTGAGTGAAATCAGTACTGTGCTGAGTACTGAGTGAAGGTCTTGAACCAAAAGGAAGTATGTGGGCAAAAGACCAAAGGGCTGGCAAGGTGGAGTTTTCAAAAGCATTGCGTGACTTATGAGCTGAACTTCCCATATGAAGCTTTGTTCTGATAGCGTGCTCTTAAGTCTTGCATACAAAAACATAGAGGCACTAATATGCGGGGGCTGTTTTGAAAGCAATAGCTCCTATCTTGTTCTGTTGATCCATGACGTCAGAGGCAGATGGTGGTGGTATGGCAGTAGATGTTGAACCCTCCCACCAATACTGCATTCCATTTTGTTGCCGTGTGACAGATGGCAGCAGAGGGAGAGTCTGACAAAATGGCATCTGACATGGAAGTGTGTATGAAGCAAAGATGTGTCACTGAATTCCTCCATGCAGAAAAAAAATGCACCCATTGCCACTTGCTGAAACCAAACACTGGATATGAGCAAAGTGAGTGGTTGTGTTTTGTAGGTGAGAATTTGCTTTGTCAAACAGTATCTTTGCTCTCTTTGGGTGTGTTGTTTCCATGGAAATTAATAAGAGGCATTACTTTTGGAGCGACCTACATATATTCTCTCAGAAGCAAACTTTCTTATATATTACAAACCCATATGGAATGATTATTCAGATTTCTGATTCTTCAAGAAGGTGTTAGAAATTCAACAATGCCTAAAAGAGTAGAGAAGCTATTAATATATTCTGTAAGGCCAGCTGGGGCATTGAAATATCATAATCTCTTCCCACCTGAACAACAGCCTTACAATCTTAACAGTAAGATAGAAGTACGTATTTTTTGTAAGTTATGATTTGAAAAACATTACTGGATAGGTTTGATGTGAGCACAAAGCTGTAATTCCAATGAGAATAAGCCATGAAGGTCTTCTGCTGCTTCAGTGTCTACCCTTGCAAAGCGATGCGTTTCCTCTATTCTCATTGTGATTAAGAGTTAAAATAAAAGTGGAAAACTTTCTTCTGTGCCTAGCTGGACGGGCAAGGTTTAATGTGAGACATCCTCCATGGGAAAAGAATAGAGTTTCAAGATTAATATCCAATTTCCAGGCTTTTACACTACTCGGCAATCACTCAAATCTAACAGTGAAGCAAGGAAAAGATTAAAAAGCCAAAGGCCGCAAACCTGTTTAAACTTGTATAGTGGGTTCAAAGTTTCCTCTGAGATCTTGAGCTATAGTTTTCAGATATCACAGAAGTACAAAACCTAGACAGTCCCACAGATAAGTTCCTATTTACTCTAGATGAACTGAAGAAATATAACGAATCACACTTTGGACCTTGTTCTTAGCTATAACTAATACCTGGTTATTTTGGTCACTCGCTGAGAAGTGACTTTCAGAAGCATTTAGGAGTAAAGTGAGCTCCAAAAAAGAGAAGCTGTTGCTACTGGAGAGAAGGATGGTGGGAAAATACTTGTGGACCCTTGCCAAAGTGGGAATGCATTACAGTGCCTGCAACTGCTGATAGTCCTGTTGCTGAAAACTTAGTTGGAATCCCACTGACTTTGGAGACAGCAGGCAGGAACGCTGGCAAACAAAAGTATACATGTGAAACAAAGCAGAGGGAAGAATGAAGCAATAATGCATAGTCCTTATTTACCTACATTTGCCATCTACAGTCCTCTGGTTACTACACTGCCTTGTCATAGGTTTTAGTTCTGCTAATCAATGTGAACCAGAGCCTTCTGCTCAGCATGAGATCTGGGAATGCTAATAAGAATCTTTCCTCTCTTTCCAACCATCTTACAAGAACAGATATGGCCCATTTTGATGAGAGCAAGACATTTAACTGTTCCTTCACATAATGCACAGCAGAAATCTATCTTACCATTCTACAACTGAAGGTACTGAGTCTAATGAAGAATGCATGAAGAAGGGAGGAGAATATAACCAGTAGTTATTATATTCCAATAGCAGCATTAGTTATATGGCTGCTACTCCCACATACCAGGTACTGAACAGAGGTCAGGGGTCTGTCGCTACCCTCCAGAGCACAGTCTGAACAGACAAGAACTAGCAGGAAAGGGGACAGAAGACAAAGAAGTTAAAATCAGCAATTTTAAAAATCAACTTCATCCTCAAATGGCAAAATGTAGACTTTTTCCTTTTAGAAGTTATCTGATGTCCTCAGATGATCTGCTGAAATTCTACTTTGCAGGTTTACCAAGATCTAGGCTATGGCACCTTTTGTCAAATTACTTTTCCCTTGTCAGCAAGCCCTTTCCTACAAAAGAGAACTACACTAACCTTGTTGATAGCTAAGGAAACCCAGACGCTTTCAGCATATATGAAAGAATCTTATATTGGAAGACAAATATCTGTCCTTTGCAGTGAGGTTCACAGGAACTCATCTCTTGGCAGCTGATAAACAGTTGTCACAGCTGGGCAGGCTCAAATTATGAAAAATATCCATGGAGCTTGAATACAATGACTCTAAGGTCATCAAGAAACCGGTTCAAAACAGGAAACAACTCTAACCCCATGGATTATAAAGACTCCATATAACTGTAACAGGTGCTTACAGTAAATTCCATTATAAGGAACCTCCGCCAATAGCTAGAGCCGTCAGCTCTTAAAGATGGGGTGTATCACTTGATCCATGGCATCAAGGACGTGTTTTAAATAACAAATCAAGATGAGCAAACTGAAGGAAGGAGAGGAAGAACGACAAGTTGTCCATTATTTTATCAGGGTCTCATCTTTTTATAGCATTTTAACATCAAGTCAGATTTTATTCTGTTGAGTCCCACTGCACCATCTTGGAAGAAACAGCTGTTATCAGTTCTACAGGTTGGTATTTCATTCTGTATTCTCAGAGGGTTGTCACTGACCTGTCCTTCCTGGTCCCACTGAGCAATGCAGGTAAACAGCCATTGCCTTTCGCTGTGAGTGGCTGTTGCTGGCAACTACTCCCAGTTCTGGAAAACAAATTGCAGACCATTATCAGCTCTTCTGGTAATTGCTGCTGGATGGAAACTGAGAGTGCAATAAATCACAACATCATTATACTAAGGCCCAAATGGTCTGGAATATTTTAGCTTGGGATAGTTAATATAGAAGTGATATTGACTGCAATGGTAGATAAAAATATACTATGTTGACTAGCTTATATGTAGGTTTTTCTGTATATTTTAAATTAAAAGCAAATAAACTTTAAAAAAAGAAACCACTACAACTTATCTTCAGCTACAACTTTAACATTTTGCTTCTTAACCTGATGAGAAGGAAAATCTCTTAGACTTCAAATATGTGAGCCTTGAACTCTGCACAAGGCATTATATTTATGACAGAGATACCACACATAATGATTGTAGGCTAAAGGTTGGTGTATTTTCATTGTTTGTATTCTCTCTTTAAGGTAAATGTCTATCAACCCATTATATCTCAGTATTCTCGTGAACACAGCAGTTTCCAGCAGACTTACTCACGCTCAGGCAAAATGGAATTGCTTGGTTTGAAGCAAAGTTCTCCAAAGTCCAATAAAATAAATGTACTTCAAAACTCAAATGTTAAAAAAAAGAAGCTGAAAAACGAGGCAGTTTCAAACAAGCACTGAGTCATGTGAACAGAAGAAGTTTGACAGGATCTCCCTTGGGATATTCCACAAACATGTACAGTCCCAGGCACGGAGCCAAAAGATCCAGGCGTATCAGTTAGGTGCAAGATAGGGAGGAGTTAGCAGTCATGTTTGAAAATATGCATTTCATGTTCAGCCAAGAAGTGATATTAACAGCCATTGTATATTTGTATATTTGCCCAGAGAAAAGTGTAAGGATGGAGTGGAGCGAAAGGAAATAAATAAAGCGGGAGAGGGAGTATCATCTCTAAGAGAATTTTGTTTCTCCGTCTGGTTCCAGACCAGCTCATTAAAGCCGAAAGGTAATTCCACTCATTGCAGTATCTTCCATCTTGTTCAGATTTCATCCATGAATAAGCAACTGGATTTCTACCAGACAACTGGAAGCCTACCAAAAGCACAATCCTCTGACGTGCTAGCAAAGCTGGAATTAGATAAAACATTCATGAGAAAGACCCACAGATTTAGTGGATGTGACTCTCATAAATGCTGATGTTCAGAAAGAGCAGCTTTATAGAAAACATTTGCCCTTAGTTTAAAAAGTCTGTGCTGAAATGAGTTAAACTACCTCATTATCAACTGGGTTTTTTTTGTTCCTTTTTGATGATGGCATTGTTATTAGTTTCATTCGGTTAAAAAAAAAATACAAGGCTCTGCAGGGCTTGTATTAAATTGTTTAGGATTATTATAATCAAATTTTGATTGAAACACTATTAATGATCTATCTTGGGAATTTAAAGCATCATTTTGGGGTTGATAGCATCTTTGTGATGGAAAGCGTATTTTTTTAATTGGATTCTTGGAGAAAGTACTGTAAGGCTTGTTCAGTTTATGTTTTAATCCAGACTGCCCCGTACACATGTACAAGGTTGCAAATATTCATTTATGTTTATGGCTATGTTAGACACACTTCACAAGAAGAAAGAAACAGACCAAGCAGCAGAGGAGGCAACCTGCCTCTTTTCAGCTGAGATCATGAAAATGCTGCTTGATGCCACCAAGAACAACAGCAGGCTTGAGTCCCATCAGTGCCAGACAGTTGTCCCTCAAATCTGTGACCATGGTGAACCAGGCTGCACTTCAGCCAGGAGTATTTCTTCTGACCTCTGTACAGCAATAGATCTCCCTTGGAGAAAGAAAACATGAAACGTTCTCTCTCCTCTTAATATTCACAAGTTTGTGTGCTGAAAACAACTGGTGCAAGCAGAATGTTCTGAGCAGCACTGCCTGCATCCAGGAGCTGCCTTGGCACTAAAAACAATGGGCTCACTTATCTAAAAGGTTGGGCAAATACTGTCATGGAGTGATCCCTGCATAACTGAGAGCTGACAGCTATTTACATCACCAAGGATTTGGCTGCACTGTAACTGCTCTTGTGACAAGCCATGAGGCTTTGAACGCTGGACTGTTTGCTTCCAAATCTTTTACACCTTGACAGTCTCCCTAATCATTCAGCAAATAAATGGTGGAAGTTCCTGAGCAGCATTTTCAAAAATGACAGCTTTACTGCTACCATCTTCACATCAGCTGCTGTAGGGTGACTATTATTTCTGGAGATGTTGGGGGTTTTCTTAAAGAAAGGAAGAAGAAAGAAACCATGCTGCTGATAGCACTACTAACCCAATGAGCACTGCCTATCAAACCCAAATGGTGCAAAACTTCTGTTATGGAATAGTGAGTACTGGTGGCTCCTTTGCTACCACCTACCTGTGTAAATGCAAATTCTGCTAGTGGTGAAGCCTAAGATAACATAGTCAAATGCAAACTACTACTTGCTAACACTTTCAAATTACTTCATTGCTATCAAACTGCTGCACACTAGTCATAGCAGAGCAAAATGTCACATCCAGTCCGAATTTATATCAGTGTGCCTCTTATGGTGATCAGCGATGAGGGCTGCAGGAGGAGCAGGGCACACAGCACCAATCACACTGTTACTGCAGCTGAGGCACTGGAAGGGCTGAGGACACTCTAGCTGCCATACAGTCCCACTGTGTCCCCAGAGCAGGACTGCTGTCCACAGCATCAGCCCAACCACGGTGTTGTTGTCGACCTCCACCCTCCTTGGAAGGAGGCTCCAGCCATCCTCCCCCAAATGCAGCAGGACACAGGAGAAGCTGGGTGGTTCAGCAGTGCTTGTTGGACCAGGCTTCTAAGACACAACCCAAATGCATATACTTAGAATTGTAATCAACTAATAAAAGATTTCTTATCTCTGAGCTGCACAAGAGGCATGATATTCCATTGACAACTGAAGAATTTATCACTTTATCACTTGTTTTTGTCGCTGAAGAGAGTCACTTATCAGCAATGGAGAAGGGTGGGTGTTGTCTGGGAACCAAGGTCCAGCACTGGGGTGTGTAACAAACGTTAACCACTTCATCTCACCTCACGGGGCACTATTTTAATTTCATCTTTATTGAGCTTAATTATCAGTTTACAACACTTGTACGTTATAGAAGACATAAACCTAGATCACCTCCTACAGGCCAAAGAGGAGAAGTCCTTTCTCCTTGCCATGAACAGTGCTGTTCCTGACCTGCTGGGCTTTTGAAGAGTCAAGCAGACTGCTCCAGCAATGCTGAACTGCGCTTATTAATGTCAGCATTAGATCAGTATAGAAGATAATGGCAACCCTGCCCATGGCAGGGAGTTGGAACTAGATGATCTTTGAGGTCCCTTCCAGACCAAGCCATTCTTTGATTCTATGATTTTATGATTCTCTTCTAGCACTCCGAATTTTGGGGTTAGTAGCAAGCTTCCCCATATACTGCATATCCAACTGTACAATAGAATGCTTTAGGAAATCAAACAAACTCATTAGATGCCTGCCACTTAATGCAACCAGAAACAACCTTTGCACTTGAATCCAGACTTCTTCTATTCCTTGGAATTCTTTCCTGCAAAATGGGGTTTCTGCAGACTGTCATAAAATACTGTGAGAGAAAGAGTAATAAGCAAAATTCGTTCTTGTTACTAGTGACAATTTGAGAGTTAAATTGTGTTTGAAATGCTGTGTTTTGCAATCTAGTCTATGTGATAAGTGATAAGTTATATAGCTGTAATAAACAGTAGCGATACGTAAAATGTCTTACATTCTGTACAGACCCATTTGCATTGCAAAAAAATCTCCATTTAGATTACAATGAACTCTAAATTATAGAATAAACAAGTTTTGGCTACATCTCGAGGCCCAGCAGGGAGGAAGGCATCGTTTGCCACCACAGCAGAGGAATGCTGTTTACATCCAACAGAACTGCGCGAGGAGACTTTGCAGCTTTAACACATAGGGACTGTGACCAGGCCTCCTCAGTGTCTTTGCTTTGTGGTTTTCATTGGATGGCTGTAGGCTCTCTACTTACTACCAGAAGCATTGAGCAGTGCTTTACTTTTCCCAGAGCGGTTAGGCCTCGGGGGATCAAGCTGAATATAGCCAACCTTTGAGCCTGCTTGCTGTGTAGCAAGCCACTGAAATGAAGCCCTATTGTGTGCTCTCCTTAAGAAACAAGGGTGTAATTTCATCTGGGACTAGTAGCAGGTAAATGACAACAGGATATCTGCTTTAAACGTTGCCTTGTCTTCCCTTTGCTGAAAATGACTCTCAGCCTTCCAGGTGCTCAGCTAACCTTGCCCTCTGTCAGTCTGTGCCAGCACAGGCACTGCACAGGCTGTGCCAATTGTGATGGTTGATGATCTCAGAGTGGTATCAGGAAAATACAGATGTTCACACTCAGATATCCAAACCTTAGCAAGTCACATGTATCTACCTGACACCATTATCAATTCTTCTGCACCCTAAATTGGTCTTTTACAAACTTCCAGCTTGATGCTTCCTTTCATTAAATGCGTATGCAATGCTATTAGGAGATAATATCAATCCCAATGATGTCAGATGAAAATTGTGTCTTTCTTTGACCTTGCAGGGTAAGATCATGTCTGAAAGTGTGACAGATTGTGAAAAGCAACCAGGGAGGGCTCACGTTATCTGCTCCAGATATTGGAAACTGGTTGCCACCTGGTTTCACAACTTACAGAACTCGATAAGATCCCCAGTTTGTTCCGGAGATCCCACCTCCCACAGCTTTTATTCATTTGTCTAGACCAAGAATGACATAAGATCTTTCCTGTTGGCTACCACAACTCACGTTTCACACAATGATCTCTTGGGAGTCGCATCCTGAAGTCATCCTGGAGGTTGTGCAAAAGGCATCAGTTCTCTTTTCAGCCACAGGTCCTTTTGTAGACCTTAACAGTACCAAAGCAGCAACTTCACACCTGCAGCACACAGTGGTGTGAAGTTTTGCCTGTCTGTGAGCCCCAGCACTTAATACTCATTTCAAG